TCTGAAACATTATCTTTTCCCGAGAATCACCACAGCAGACACGATCTGCACCCGAAATCTCCATAAATGAGACTGACCACGGGGTTTTGGGATCGCATGAGCCCAGTTGAAGTTTTTACAACCCAATACACCCTCTAGAAACATACTTTGATCGCAAACTAAAATACTCATCACTTCTGAGCTCTAACCCGGTCGCAACGGTGAGAAATGACAGTCGAGATTTTGTCTTGTGAATGAGGTCACACTGTGCCAAAAGGCCGAGAAGTAGTACTGTGTGCCTGAAGCCTGATGTGTGGTCGTTTAAGTCTTAACTGAGAATTACGGTGAGGAAGGTGCTTAAAGCTTTGTCATCATGATACAAAAAGGTACATCTGAAAATTTGGGCGGAGAGTCAAATTAGCTCAGTTACCAAGTCGTCAGAAAAAGGGCTTCTTCCATTTGGAGAAATAAGTATTCCTAAACTATCGCAAGTGTCACGGCGAATCCACTGATTGTTAAACTGGAAATGACGGATAATAAATTATAGCAGAAACTTCGTATTTTCCTAGACTGAACACAGGCGTTTTTTGACACAAAAATCAACCTGTAAACGTCCTTTATCACGTGTGTTGGAAATAAGTTGACACAGCCAGTCATCATCTGTCGGACCGATAAATGGTTTGTTTACTACAGACTCACCAACCTAGCTGGAAGCAGTACTCTTTAGTGTTTGGGTGACACGTTACACTTCATAAAACGAGAATCCTATCCATAAAACGTTCAGAAAACCCAAGCCGATTAAAAAAATAAAAAATAAATCGTTCGGCTGGTGCCTAGCCGTCATGCCACCCGTAGGAAGCACGATGGCTGGGATACTGCCAGGTTGCCCAAGTCTAGACAGGGGAAGTCGAGTGGCAGAGGTCGGGTTCGAGCCACGGACCTTCTGGTCAGTGAATTCGCGCTTTAACCACCGAGCCATCTCGCCGATCAGTGCTTGCTTGGCTTCTCTGACTGGTGGTTTGTAGTGTCGTAAAAGTTCTCTTCTGTAAAATATGTTCAACACCTTTGGGGCAAAAAATTCCCTCAGGACAGCCGAGGTTTTGAACTGAACCATGAATAGCAGCGACATAGTTGTCACTGTTGTAATTGCTTAAAAACAAAAATTGCAGGAGTATACTTGTCACTTCTTTGTCCGATACCAAGCCCTATGGAGAATGACTTGCACGCAAAAATTTGATGGCACGTCCTATGTAAGGCGGACTTATCATAACGCTCGGGGGAAAAGAACTCAGGCAACGATTGTTTAAAAAGTAATTTCCCCGTGAATATTCTCTGTCAGCTAAGTCCCATTCTTTAATGCGGTTTTATTAATTTTACTTGTGTCTGAGTCCTCGGTACTTATATAATGTTCTGAAAATGAGTGTCATCTACCCACTTCCAGGTGCTCTAGGTCCTTCAGAAGGAGGTTTATAGTAACCGCGATTGCAAGTGCGCCCAGGTGCTCGAGCACACTTATACCGTAGTAACTTTTGATGGATCCGACTGTTCCGAATACAAAAAGACCATTGCTACTAACTTCGTCAGAAGTTCAAAGTAGACAGTGTGGCATTGGAATCTACTCAAAGAATGATGGCATCTCTCCAGATCTAGACATCTTGAGCGACAATTTGACAGAATTCATACAAAAATCTTCCATGCATCATCATCAGTTTCGTCTTTCTTGAGGCTTATCAAGTAGACATAGTCGAAGGACTACCAGCAACTCCACGAGTAGTATGTAATGTCAGAGAAATATACTGAGATACCTCAAATATCCTGCCAAGTGAAACATAAGGCGGCCTTTGTGTAGCACCTACATTATAAACGAAAGTATCATTTATGTGCCTCAGTGAGACCAATGTAACCAGCAGATAAGCTAACATTTCTTTCGCGACGAGGTTGCTTCCCCGTTACCACAGGAGAATTACTACATCTCTGGGCGGATATACTCCAGCAACGGCGACAAATCTACTCCTGTTGGTCGGTCGAATCCGTTAGCTTACTTCACCCCGTCCATGACGTTAAACTACCTGACCAAACAACCTACTGACCGACGCAGGCCATGAATCAACCCGCAGTGTCACACAATACAGGCATGTTTGTGTACGTTGAATTTGCCTGCTTGTTCGGCAAACTTACAGCACACCACTTACAATAAACTTGCCATAATCTAACACCTAAGTATGCATTCAGGCCCATATACACGGCACTAATAATGTTTTTCCACTGCTTGTCCACAGCACAGATGGGCCTGGTCGATCGATTGCCTGATCGATACCTTGGTATGTGAACCAAATGCGACTATTGTTTTTTTTGTCATTGTGGACGTGACCTGGATGGAAGAGCAATACAAAAGCACCCAAAGTTTATCATAACTGTTTCTGAACAAATAAAGTTTGGATCTGAATTTTGTTCCGTTGTACATCGTTCTTATATTGTGCACGGTCGTCAGTGGGCTTCTGGCGAGTTGATCCTGTGGACGAGTGTACTAGTAAGTAATATTCTAAGAAAGAAAGGTTATGTGGGTCGTCACTGGATCACATGGTAGCTTCATGATCTGTGCCTCATTCCTTGATCACAGTTCAAACCATCCAAATGAAGCTGGATGTTTAAGTAGGTAAAGCACAATCAGAATGGTTGAGGTTTTGAAAAGTTCTAGAGTTTGGTAGTGTGAGGAGAGTTGAGGATTTCTGTGGAGATTTCGTCCTTAAGTGAAGTCAATCTATACTGAAAAGCCGAGAATCACTGTACAACTGTCTTATCCTTATTGGGAATTATTGGCCACGAGATGCTCGTGGCCGAACGGTTAAGTGTTCAAACTAGTAGCCAGAAGGTCCCGGGTTCGAGACTCTTCTGAGTTTCGTGAGATGCGCACTGGTGATAACGAAACGGCTGTGCAGTGTTTCTCGGCTTTTCAGCTTCATTTACAGGACGAAATCTCCACAAAAGTCCTACAGGTTCGTGAGGTGTATAGGTTGACGGCTATATACTAATTATAAACCCTTCAGAAGAGATCGGTTTGCAGGTATATGGCTGTTTCGGTTCACAGGCACATCAGCCTTTCGCCCATGGAGATGTAGACCCCGGCTTAAATAGAAACTGGCCAGTGAAATTCAGGCTGCAACTAAAATCACTGGGCGACGTTCGATGCATTCATCTTTTATGGACTGCTGAAATCAAACAGCCTATGGGGTAACTTATACCAAGGTCTCAGTAGCTTTAGAGATAAAAAAACCTACAAAGCAATGAGGTTTATAAATAGAAAATGTTAGAATGGTCATGAACAGGCGTCTGAGTCAGAAGCTTGTTGATGGCTGTGGTGATGACACAATTCAGAAAGCAGATTTGGTGCCCCTTCCTATTCGACCAGTAAATACTCCAAGTTGCAAATCCAACTGACGAAAAGTTGACAAGTTGAAATTGAAATTGACTCAAAAAGCCAAACTGGACAGGGGAACGATAGCTGCTGAACTCACATTTTATCAGCCCCTTGCAATAAAGCCGTTGCCAAAGGAGTTTGTCAAAAAAAGGAATGAAATGAAATGCTGACAGGTGGGAATTGTATCCGTGAAAGCAGCCGTAGCAAACTTTACACATGTTAAACGATATGGTGTTCTTAAACAGCGTTATGGTGTGAAAAGATTGTTACTGATCCTGTGTTTAGCAGACCTGTCGCTCATGGCCGAACGGTTGACTGTTAAGACTATTATCAAGAATGTCGCGGGTCTGAAACAACCTGGAGTTCCGTGAGATGTGCACTGCTGCTTATTCCCAATAAATATGAACCCGCTGTGCAGTGCTTTCTGCGTAGACAGGCTCCTCCTTCAGAATATATATATATATATATGTATATATACATGT